CCCCCCCCCCCCCCCCCCCCCCCGTTCCATTTTCAACGTTAAATACTGACTGTTTCTTTATTCTGCTGGAGTCCATTTTCAGCGATATATCACTTCTCTAAATTACAACACATTATGATTCAATTATGTTGGGTATATATGTATATCACATACTACAATACAGTTGGTTCACCATAGCTTTATCATGTTGTTCTATATTCACCGTTATGTGTTTCAGAGTATGTGGAGAACTTCGTTGATCAAACTATACAGCGAGCGACAGTCACTCTTATCATAGAGCTCAAACCAAGGATCATAACCACGTATGTATACCACAATATTTAGAATATACCTGTTTGTATGATAATCACTACAAATACGAAATATTTAGATGTAGAAATCAAAACACAATAAACCTGTTTACTGTACTATATGACCAATTTGTCCATTAAGTGGCACACAAAATGCTACAATGAAAAATGCATGTTTAAAGTGTTCCAACATATGTAGAATACAGCAAATATGTAAAGGTGTCAATATAACCCCGTTTAAACATTATAAATTAACAAGTTTTGGATGCAGCAGAAATCTTATACTTCAATTAGTATTTCATGTAAATTTTGCAGGTATTAAATCCAGGTAAAAGACTACGTTTAACTTTAGAGACTGATAATCCGTCAGCAGAGTCAACTACGTTTTGTTCCTTGTTCAAAATACTCTGAAATTTTAATAACAAATATGAATATTTAACAATAACACTAGAAATCTTAAAAAATAATTACACTATAAAATACTTTCATGTTATACAAATTTGGTAACAAGCCGTGCTGCAACTGTGTTATACTGACATACACATGAATGAAATTCTGTTGTGTGAGAGGAATATTTAGAATTAAGATATGTATGTGCATTGTTATTAAATATTTAAAAAGAGGAAAAGCATAAGATGGCAGCAATACTGTTTCCCTGCTTCATCGCCATTCTCGCTAATATCGAGGGTGGGGGTGCTGTTAAAGTTCTCATAAAAGTGAAAAAGTCATGGCAATGTGTTGCGATTCCAAAGCGTAATGTAAACACTTTGTAAAATGTTAATTGAAAGTCAGAAACTTAACAGAAGGCCAGACGATCTGGCAAGTATTCAAACCAATACAAGCTGGATATCAATGTGCCTGCCAACGGAAGTCATAGCTAGCGGGCAAATAACCCAGTCCATTAAATAGAACTGAAGTACGTTACACATTGAAAAAGATCCAACTTGTGGCTAGAAATGAGAATTAAACCGTTATGGATGTTAATTAACAGCAGAAGGTATCTACAGTTTCTTCTGGTAATAACATACGTAGATAAAAATAAAATTCTGTCATTTAATATCTCTGATATTTGCACAAGAGTGATATATCGTGTATTTAACGGTTTATGATTATCTGATATGAGGATGGGCTTACCAGGAATTTAGTAGCATCCTTCATAATAGAACAATACCGTCGACAGTGACCTTTTGGTTCAGATAGCAGTGGTATATTTCTCTTTCTCTTAACGACTTACGACTTACAGGTTACGTATTAAAATATGAGTTTTTAAAGATACCTATTATAATCTGAGAAGATGTCGACATAATTGATGAACTACGTGGAAATAAAACCCAATTTCCGAGATAATTTTGCGAGGTAATGGTCTCGTTAGCAGGTAATTTTCCGCTTATAAATCCAATCAATATTACCTATATACGAAACCTACATTATGAAATGAGGATTGTTGGTGGGTATATTGTATTGGTACATAGTATATCACATGATATTTAATTGAAAACAATGGGTTGACTACACTTGTTCTATTTTTCATTAATAAGTAGAAAGTCGCATTAAATGTCGACAACAGTCACATGTTATATTGAAAAAATCCTCAGATAATGTCCACATCTTCTAAGATTATGCAAAACATGTTCAAAATCTTTTCGAAATTGCCTTTTTTAAAGTAATACTTATTAGTCAATGGCAGAATCGTCATGGTAATTCAGAAATTAACCAAGGTAGATAGTTATATAATCCCTAACATTCAAGATTCCGGAACAAGCTTCTAGTCCAGTCGCGTCTTGTCTCGTATTCACGCGTGCTTTTTCCTGGTTTGTTAAAGCTGTTCCATATGTGTCGACGCTGTGGTTTAGTCTTTCGTTACATGTGTTGATGCCTTGTTATATTTTCCCACGAAACAGAGTGTTGACGCCATATTACTTTTTGTTCATGGTTGAGTAGAAGATTTGGTATCATTCGACATTATTGGTTGACGTTATAGCGATTTTTCTGTGTTTTGACGTTTATTTTTTGATCGTGTGGGTTGATTGTTCGAACTGTGGTATTTATTGTTTATATATTTTGTCAATATGTGATGCTGTGATAATATTAAGTCCTTGTTTGTTGACTTATGCATCCTATCATGCAGCCTAACTCTGCTAATTGATTCGATTCGTTAAAATGTAGTAAGGTCTTTTATTTAGAAATAAACTGGTATTTTTCCTCGTATATTACTTCGGAATATATCAGGTCGAAGACAAATAATAACGGTCACTGCGCCGTCCACGAAATAGAGGCTGCCAATATACCATTTCAGATAGACCTGATATTGGTTAATTTTAGTTTTGAAATACTTTAAATATACAATGTAAACCACAGTATTGGAGAATATGTTTCTACAGAAGCCGACGAATGAGTCCGTCCAAACGAAGGACGTCTGAATTTATTGGTATTAATTACCCATCCACATTCATATTTTTTAAATATTGAATCAATTGTAATAAACTTTACATAATACAATTATATATATTAAATGTTCATTACTTTTTTTACGTTTTCTCTTTCAATTATCATCTATATACAAACATATGAATAGGGAATAATCGACTAAATTTGTTTCATTTGCAGCATGCAGGATTTGAAAGACCCGGAGGACTGAGCCATTTAACGCTTACATTGGAGGCTGAGCTTCTCGCATTCCCGATTATCGCTCAGGAATATTGACCGCACGTGGACAACTTAGTGAGGTTACGATTCAGTGATGACGTTCGTGATTATATGATGAGAATGAAAACCACCAACATATGCTTTTTGTTGTGGTAAATGAACGTCTACAATTAACATTCCGCACCATTGGTTGTGCATTGTATCAACCGACACAGGCGCTAGAGGCCGCGTCTCAGCGGTGTACGTCTGGTCTGTGTTAGCCGGAAGAGTATCGACATACATCGGCCCCCATTAAGATATGTAAACAAGGCTTATGATGATTGGAACAATTGCCGGCTACAATGAGAAACGTGTAGTCCTAAGGGTTTGTCTAGGACCATTATGTAATCGTACGGACTAATTAGCGACGTGTTAAATGTTTATTACCACAGACAGTACCAAAGATAATTAAAGTGTGAGTGACGCTGTGTGTCTATAACTGTAGCCAACACACCTGGTCGAGAGCGCGGCCAATGTCATACGGTTTGTCTCCCTTTGTTTAACTGTAAACCAATTAAAGGGAGATAACACTTGTTCGTTATAATCATATTCCATATTTTTATTGTATTAATTGTTGATACGCATAATAAATGGTTTTCTATTAATGATATAAAATGTTTCAATGATTTAGCATTGTACCTATATACTGAACTATGTACCGTGACTCTTTAATGATATATACAACATGTGAATACAGTTTTCAAATACTTAAACCTTTTGACAGCTATCTAATAGAATAGTTTGAACACGGTGTATGTGTGACGTGTTCGGTGGAGTATGGAAGTTGAAGATAAGCGCTGTTCATATATAAAATTAAATTAAAATGTCTTTAATTTCGGCATGTTATTTCTATGTTCACTGTCGTAACACATTCGTTTACATATATGTAAACTGTCGTTGAAATATGTTTTTTTCCTTTTAAATATATACCATATAGGATACTAATATGTACATTTTAATTTATTTTTGGGGATGAAATGTAAAGTTTTATCGGGAAAATAAAGTGGACATTTTTTTTCTGTGAAAAAAATCATATTTGTTATTTTTCAAAGCAAAAGGACCAGTGAAAATGCAGCATTTATATTAACGTGTCAAACCCTCGGGGATGAGAGGTTTCAGATTTAACATTACCCCCAAGCCCAAAGGTTCATCGAGGGCTTTGTTTCTTTTGACTGCGTGAAATCCCTGCAGAAACATGGTTGTTTTCTTGAATATCTTCTATTTATGATAATTTAAGAAGCCAAAATGGATCTTGACCTTTCTAATTGCATCATTTATGACTTTTGTCTTTCTATCTTACCTTAACTTTCTTTTTCAGCTGTAGCTCTTCAGGTACTCTTCGTATGACCTTAAATATTACAAGAACCAGAACATTTTGTTAGCCTGATGTTTGTCAGTTACATTTAAACTCTTCAGAAAAGCATTTCGACTTTGAACATTTAAATACTCCTTGTGTTTATTCCCAGCATTGTTATACTTGCCTATAATTGCCCCTTCACTACTTTACATACCGACTGTATGCAATACATGTATATTTTAATAGTAATTTTTTCCTTGAGTATCAGTTGTTGATTTATTAAATTGGAGTATGTTTAGGGTGTTACCGACATTTTTGTAAGCTATCCACTTACATTTGATTTTGGTGATAGAGGACTGAAATAAACTAGAGAAAGACCACAGGATCAACTCTCTAAATATATCCTACCTTTAAAGTAAACAGTGACAATATAACACAACATCAATACACTCGAACAAATATACCATAACGGTCAAAAATACCCTTACTTCAAGAATCATGTCACACATATTGTTTTGCATCAACACACACGGTCAAAATATACCAAAGCGTCAACACACAAGGGGAAAATATACCACAGTATCAAAACACAAGGGGAAAATGTACCACAGTATCAACACACAAGTTGAAAATGTACCACAGTTTCAACACACAAGGGGAAAATGAACCACAGCATCAACACACAAGGGAAAAATGTACCACAGCATCAACACACAAGGAGAAAATGTACCACAGCATCAACACAGAAGGGGAAAATGTACCACAGCATCAACAGACAAGGGGAAAATGTACCACAGCACCAACACACACAGTATGAACACCCAATGAGAAAAGATCCCACAGCATCAACACACAAGGGGAAAATGGACCACAGCATCAATACAGAAGAGGAAAATGTACCACAGTACCAACACACAAGGGGAAAACACACAAGGGGAAAATGAACCACAGCATCAACACAGAAGGGGAAAATGTAGCACAGCATCAACACACAAAGGGAAAATGTACCACAGCACCAACACTCAAGGGGAAAATGTACCACAGCATCAACACAGAAGGGGAAAATGTACCACAGCATCAACAGACAAAGGGAAAATGTACCACAGCACCAACACTCAAGGGGAAAATGTACCACAGCATCAACACAAAAGGGGAAAATGTACCACAGCTTCAACACACAAGGGGAAAATCAACCACAGCATCAACACACAAGGGAAAAATGTACCACAGCTTCAACACACAAGGGGAAAATGTACCACAGTATGAACACACAATGAGAAAATGTACCACAGCATCAACACATAAGGGGAAAATGTACCACAGCATCCACAGACAAAGGGAAAATGTACCACAGCACCAACGCACAAGGGGAAAATGTACCACAGCACCAACAAAAATGAACCACAGCATCAACACACAAGGGAAAAATGTACCACAGCTTCAAAACACAAGGGGAAAATGAACCACAGCATCACCACACAAGGGAAAAATGTACCACAGCTTCAAAACACAAGGGGAAAATGAACCACAGCATCACCACACAAGGGAAAAATGTACCACAGCTTCAACACACAAGGGGAAAATGAACCACAGCCTCAACACACAAGGGAAAAATGTACCACAGCTTCAACACACAAGGGGAAAATGTACCACAGAACCAACACACAAGGGGAAAAATGTACCACAGTACCAACACACAAGGAGAAAATGTACCACAGCATCAACACACAAGGGGAAAATCTACCACAGCACCAACACACAAGGGGAAAATGAACCACAGCATCAACACACAAGGGGAAAATGTGCCACAGTATGAACACACAATGAGAAAATGTACCACAGCATCAACACAGAAGGGGAAAATGTAGCACAGCATCAACACACAAAGGGAAAATGTACCACAGCACCAACACTCAAGGGGAAAATGTACCACAGCATCAACACAGAAATGGAAAATGTACCACAGTACCAACACACAAGGAGAAAATGTACCACAGCATCAACACAGAAGAGGAAAATGTACCACAGTACCAACACACAAGGGGAAAATGCACCACAGTACCAACACACAAGGGGAAAATCTACCACAGCTTCAACACACAATGTGAAAAGCACAACAGCATCAACACGGAAGGGGAAACTGTACCACAGCATCAACACACAAGGGGAAAATGTACCACAGCTTCAACACACAATGTGAAAAGTACAACAGCATCAACACGGAAGGGGAAACTGTACCACAGTACCAACACACAGGGGAAACTGTACCACAGTACCAACACAGAAGGGGAATATGTACCACAGTACCAACACAGAAGGGGAATATGTACCACAGCACCAACACAGAGGGGGAAAATGTACCACAGTACTAACACACAGGGGAAAATGTAACACAGTACCAACACACAAGGGGAAAATGTACCACAGCATCAACACAGAAGAGGAAAATGTATCACAGTACCAACACACAAAGGAAACTGTACCACAGTACCAACACAGAAGGGGAATATGTACCACAGCACCAACACAGAGGGGGAAAATGTAGCACAGTACAAGCACACAAGGGGAAAATGTACCACAGCACCAACACACAAGGGGAAAATGTACCACAGCTTCAACACAAAATGAGAAAATGTACATCAGCATTAACACACAAGGGGAAAATGTACCACAGTACCAACACACAGGGGAAAATGTACCACAGTACCAACACACAAGGGGAAAATGTACCACAATGCAAACACACAAGGGGAAAATGTACCACAGCACCAACAAACAAGGGGAAAATGTACCACAGTACCAACACACAAGGGGAAAATGTACCACAGTACCAACACACAAGGGGAAAATGTAGCACAGCACCAACACACAAGGGGAAAATGTACCACAGTACCAACACACAAGGGGAAAATGTACCACAGTACCAACACACAAGGGGAAAATGTACCACAGCACCAACACACAAGGGGAAAATGTACCACAGCACCAACACACAAGGGGAAAATGTACCACAGTACCAACACACAAGGGGAAAATGTACCACAGTACCAACACACAAGGGGAAAATGTAGCACAGCACCAACACACAAGGGGAAAATGTACCACAGTACCAACACACAAGGGGAAAATGTACCACAGTGCAAACACACAAGGGGAAAATGTACCACAGCACCAACACACAAGGGGAAAATGTACCACAATACAAACACACCAGGGGAAAATGTACCACAGCACCAACACACAAGGGGAAAATGTACCACAGTACCAACACACAAGGGGAAAATGTAGCACAGCATCAACACACAAGGGGAAAATGTACCACAGCATCAACACAGAAGAGGAAAATGTATCACAGTACCAACACACAAAGGAAACTGTACCACAGTACCAACACAGAAGGGGAATATGTACCACAGTACCAACACAGAAGGGGAATATGTACCACAGCACCAACACAGAGGGGGAAAATGTACCACAGTACAAACACACAAGGGGAAAATGTACCACAGCACCAACACACAAGGGGAAAATGTACCACAGCATCAACACACAAAGGGAAAATGTACCACAGCACCAACACAGAAGAGGAAAATGTACCACAGTACCTATACACAAAGGAAAATGTACCACAGTACCAACACACAAGGGGAAAATGTACCACAGCATCAACACAGAAGGGGAAAATGTACCACAGTACCAAAACACAGGGGAAAATGGACCACAGTACCAACACACAAGGGGAAAATGTACCACAGCATCAACACACAAGGGGAAAATGTACCACAGTACCAACACACCAGGGGAAAATGTACCACAGTACCAACACACAAGGGGAAAATGTACCCCAGTACCAACACACAAGGGGAAAATGTACCACAGTACAAACACACAAGGGGAAAATGTACCACAGCACCAACACACAAGGGGAAAATGTACCACAGCATCAACACACAAGGGGGAAATGTACCACAGCACCAACACATACGATCAAAACATACCAAAGCGTCAGCTGACATTCAAAATATACCACAGCATCAGGTCACAGTCAAAATATACCACAGCATCAGCTCACAGTCAAAATAAACCACAGCATCAGCTCGAAGTCAAAATATACCACAGCATCAACTCACAGTCAAAATATACCACAGCATCAACTCTGTCAACATATACCACAGCATCATCTCACAAGAAGTAAATGTACCACAGCATCAGCTCACAGTCAAAATATTCCACAACATCAACTCTGTCAACATATACCACAGCACCAACTCACAAGGAGTAAATGTACCACAGCTTGAAATCAAACGGTCAAATTACAACACATCGTCAAAATATGTTACCATAGCGTCAACAAAAGAGGGGTAAATGCACCATAACGTGAACAAATATATAAGGACATAAAAATGTGACACGATATGACAAAAACATGAGCTGAGAAGACAGCAATATAAAAGAAAAGAAATCAGAAACCCCTGAAATCAAATGTTATGGGAGGCAGCATTACGTGACCTCGTCATGATGTATATGTATGCAGGTCACCAACGCCCTATGAATAAATCCGTTCAATACTATATTCGTAGGCATGCATCTTAATACTTTTATTTACATAGCCATTGCTACAAGAAGGCCTGGACCTGCTGAGTTACATTCGTGTATTAATGTTTTAGGTTACATTATGATACACACAGTTTATACCCTAGT